CCGGCAATGTTTTTATCGGGTGAGACGTTAACTCGGGAACTAGAAAAACTAGAAAGCTGTGATTTTGAGGATATTTTTTTCTGACAGTCCTGATGGGCAATCTCAGTTCTTTTAGCTAGAAGCATTTTGCCGAAAAGAACAATGTCGTTAGCGAAAAAAAAAAACCCTGCGGCGAACTATGCAAAAAATGCATCTTCGCACCGACAGTCCATGTGCTGGCCCATTATTTTCTTGATGTCTGTTTAGAAGCAAGTAGAAGATGACTCCAACTTTTCAGCATGTATCGCTGACAGTTTATTACGGAAGCGGATTAACTAATAGTAGAAGGACTGGTTTTCTTATTGACAGATTCGGGCAATTGGCTTAAAGCCAAAAGAATTTTGCTAATTTCCACTGCAGCAACCCTTTGTTTTACTGTGTCACACGATGGATGTTCTTTTTTTTTCATTCCTTGGGGGGGTTGGGTGGTGGGGTTCGTTATAGTGAGAATTACTTTTTTGTCTTGAAATTGCACTGATAACATAGGCTGATCCAAGGCGGCTTCCTGGGCGATTTGGAAAATCCCCCTCCCTCCCCCCTCACTCTTGGTGGTTGACCCTAAACTCCGTCGGCGACCTGAGAAAAGGGGGAGGGGGTGAAGAAAATGAGGTTCCTGTGGGGCTACAGGGGGTATCATAAAGAGTTTTCTATAGTAAAACAGCTGCTACCTGTGCCGAAACACCAATCGCTCCTTCCCCCCCCCCCTTTCCCCTGCCCTTCCCCTTTACTCCCAACCCCCTCACCCTGTATCCGCCAGTAATTGATCAACTTGATTTTTGAGAATTGCTCAAAGTTGTGCTGATTTTTCAGGAAGAAGCGCAACAGGGGCAATCCATAAATTACGATGTCGAGGTCTTTCATCCACGTCGCAGTCACCAGATATTACGTGAGCTCGGCTTTATCACTCCGGAATCGAGATTACGGGCTATCGTTAGTCCGGGCGATTATGAAACCGTCAAACTCTCCTGGACAACACCGTCGGCAAAAAATCGTTGGAATTATGTTGGTTTTTATCCGCACTTCTTTGAATAATCATGATTTATAGTTATATTAAGAAACGTGATATTTTTTACAACCACGGTTCAGTGGTAACTCTTGCCATTTTGAAATATTGTCGTGGTTCCCGACGTTGAATTGTCTGGACCGGAAACGAAGAGGTGGAAAGGGGCTTTATTAACGGGGTGTAGGAACGAAGATTGTACACTGGAAAAGCGACTGTGAGGCCGATCTCGACGATCCGTCCGAGTTAGGACAAGTTTATTACACACACGCACACGCACACACACATACACATACACACACACACACACACTAATACAACAGCATATATTCATCATTAGTCAAAACCGCAAATTATCAACTCAGACTCGAAGGCTTGGCGCATGCCTCCCTATAGATATAGCTCTACACATATACGTCTGCACTACCTCTAAACATACTGGATTGGCGGGTAAGTAGAAGAAGATTTTTACGGCTGGCGGTTCGATGGTACTGTATAGAGATTTGCTGCTGCTGCAGCCAAAATCGCTTTTATTTAGTTTTTAAGGTGATTTTCCGGGAGATAGAATGTCCGATTTTTCTATAAGCGGGGGACTCCTGGCTAGAACTTACCATTACTTGGCCTATTGGAATCTTGGCGCTTCTAAAGAGCGTATTTTGGCGGAATTTTGTAGCTTTTCCTTGTGTTTTAATTTTAATTTTAGTTGGTATGTGTTTATGTAAGATGTAAAGAAGTAAAGAAGTAAATGTGAATAAATTAAAATTAAAAACTGAATGGGAATGTTTCGGTCCATTAAGTTGTGGTGTTGCTTGAAGAAAAGGTGATTAGCTAAGTGGTAAATAAGCGTTTTCGCGCCATATTCATTATAGCAAAAGTTTCTTTTGTTCAGTTTTTCTGGCTTTTTTTTTTCAGTTTCCGCGATGTATCTCAGCACTTCCGATAACTCCAGCGAGCGTTAACAGTCGACCATCTGTTTGCCTTACATCGTTCCTTCTTGGTGGCCGAAATGTTATGCTTGAAGTTCGCCTTTTTTCGTTTTTTTTTTCTGAACTTCTCCATTTTTCAGTACTTTTTCGATTACTAGTATAATATTTGACAAATTTTTTTAAAACAAAAAAAAAACAGTTGCAAAGTTGAAATTTGTGCATGAAAATAGGGCATATTGCCAATTTATGGATCAAATAAGGTAAAAAAAAAAAACTGCCAAGTTTGATAAGGAAGAAAAGAATTTTGAACGAAAAGAACTTTGAATTTTTCTACAACTGAGCTATAGTTTGGTACTTCGAGTTCTCTTCCACCGTTCTGATTTTCTTTTTGCAGGTGCTGAAGCAAAATGTTCATATGCCAAAAGAAGTTGAGCCAAATGTCAGTCAGAAGTTGATATCGCATTTGTTGATGTGCCATGCCGGAAGAATTTACATTCATACAATTCACATTGGAAATCATCGTAAGTTCCTTTTTCGAGATTTTTCGGATTTTTTCGTTCGAGGCAGGAGAGGGAGTCGAGGATAGGTGGATATAAGGATTAAATGGCATAGATCCTTTGCCGATTGACTAACTAACGTACATTTGAGGGGAGAGGGGAGCGGTGAAGAACGGAAAGGATGAGAAAGTGTGTTCATGGGACTTTCCTATTTATGAAACTGATGCTCAAGTAAAGCTGTCCCACAAAACTCCGTCATTAGGCTTCCCTATTTATGAAACCGATGCTTAGTTAAAACTGTTCCATAAAAACCCGCCATGAGATTTTCCTATGACAAGGTGCGGCGATTTTTATGTCGCTTTTTACGACAGATTTATTGGCACTTTTTCAGTTTTGTCTTATTATTCAGATTTTGCCCCCCCCCCTCCCCCTTTTTCGCATTTTTTATTAAAAAGAAAAATGTGTTAAATATTAAATTGCCTTTCTCTGCAGTTCCTTCTTGCTGCCAAAATACCGCAAACTTGTAATTTTAGTTTTTAATTTTGTTTTTCTAATCCGTCGAATTTGTTAGCCTTCTCTCAGTATTTTTATTCTGCGTTATTCAAATTCAGATTTATAAGATATACCCTGTTCGATATGAAATTTATCGAATTTTGTATTCTTCTAATAATTTTCACCCCTTCTCCGTTTGCTGATGCTTACTAAAATATATGGAACTTTTTTAGGTGGTTTTTTAGGAAATTCGTGGGCAGAGAACCCACGCTCCAGTCATTAGACATAATTTCAAAAAATTAAAAATTTAATATAATATGGTTTTGAGAACAATCTTGAGGATTCAGCTTTTTTATGACGGGTCGCAAGTACTTTTTTTGTCGAGTCTTTGTAGCTTTTTTTAGAATTTCGTCTCGTAGCTGATGTTTTTTTATAGTTTGCCTCCAGAATTTGCTTTTGAAAGTAAGTTCTTTAGCTATTCTAGGAATTCTGGAGCCCAACATATTTATGGCGCACTGATCTTACAAAATTTTTTTTCACCATTAATTTTCTGCTGTTTGAAGACATTTCGATAACTGTGTT